TCTACTTTATCATCTGAGGAGGTTACAAAGATTAAACCAGTGTTTTTTTAAACTCTAAAACATGAAATGTGGAGTTATCTGCTTTTGCTATAAAACAAACTTTTAAAATGTAAAAAAAACATACTTTCAATGAACTTTAATTTAGTAAATTACCTGTATTTGTTTAAGTTATTACTACTTGATCAAAACAACCCAACTGCAGTTTGATTGATATTACTTGGAACGCGCAATAAAAAAAAAAACATGATTTCTGAAAATAAATAAAAATGGAGTTATCGGTTTTTGCAAATGAACTCTTCATCTATATACTGTATATAACAAAAAGAAAACAAGTAGATAGAATAGAAAAACAATAGAGAAAGCTAATGCTAGAGGCCTTTTTTTAAAGAAAACAAGCAGTTAGAAAACAAATAGAGAGTGGAAGTGTTAGAGGGTCAAGTCAACAAATAGATCAAATAGAATTAGAATAGAGAGTGCTAGAGTTAGAGGGTCGAATAAAGTCAAATTAAATATATATAAATTACCCTTTTTTTTACTTAAACTTATATTTATTTTACATTATTGAAAAAATGGAGAAATGAAAATTGTGGATAATGCACCATTTGCACCATTTATTTCTATATATAGTATATAAAATATTAGAAAAAAAAGTGTTTAAGGAAAAAATAAAGTTCCATTTATTTCTATATAAATATTTTGAATATTGTCTAGTCCGTTCAAAATTCTAAATAACAAGAATTAAATATGGACACAAAATACAGTGCTTCTGGTTCATTGTAAAAGTTGTACTTGTTGTCTTGGCTGGTCTTCTGTGGTGAACACAGCAGCTCCTCTGATCCTCCTGTTTTCTCCAGGGCTGTGAGACGCTGGATGAGGAGCTGACCGATGCGGATCTCCTGCGGGATCTGGATCTGGACGCTCTTTCTCAAAGCACCGGCAGCGTCCTGAGCAAACTGGACTGGGCCGCCATCGAGAGGATCGTGGCAGAGCAGCAGTGAAGGAGACGTTTTCCACAAGCGTCCAGATGTTGCACAGCTGCCGCTGCTGACTGTGATTGATTGTGCTGTTTGTGTGTGTGTATCATTAGTGTCTGTTTGGGCAGAATAAACAGGAATCTCTGGCAGGTGCGTGGCGTTGTTGGATTCATTTCAGAACGCAGAGCCTTCCGGAAACTATACGACGGGCTTTGAAATGTCTTTAACATGTCATTTTGCATTTCTAAAAATTGTTTACTGAAAATCCTTTAATAAAATGAGATGATGCCAACCCTGAAACAACATAAACTACCAAAGTTTGATTGCAACACATAATCATTGCTGTTAATAGTGTTTGATTACGTCATTAACTGAATTTTACCGTACATTTCTGCCATATGTACATCAATTTGACACAGTCGCCACTGATAAGCTACTACTAAATATATTGTAGAAACTAAATTTTCTGTAAAGCTGCTTTGCAATGATTTGTATCGCGAAAAGCGCTATACAAATAAACTTGAATTGCATTAAAATGTGCAACAGGCGTTAATATGAAACTGAAGATCTCATATCTACCATTTTGTTTAATGACATGATCATCAATAACACATTAAATATGAGCTCCGAACATCATCAGCTTGAACAAAGCGTAATTTCTGAAAAAAAAAAAAAATTTATTAGCTTTTTTTTTAGTTTTTAGATGATAATAAAAGCATTTTGTCTTCAGATTCGTTTTAGTAAATAGAAATAGCATTTCTAATACAATTATAAATTTTTACTTTAATTTTATAATTATTAATTATTATTGTGTATGAGTAAATAAAACGATAAGCCCCGTGAAGCCGTGGTTTACAGTGAATTTATAACAGCTAAGGGGCGTTGTTAATGTTAGGCACAACGCGAAGCGGAGTTAGCTGTTATAAATTCACTGTAAACCACGGCTTCACGGGGATTATTGCTTTTATAAAACGGTTATTCCATATATGTAGTAAGGTTTCACAGAATAAAACAGAGCAAATAAAGTGTAATGATATTAATAAAAACAGTATTCTTCCACCAAACAATGTAGTTCCTCAGAAACAGTTGTGGTTGCTACAAAGTGGTTGCCGAGCAACAGACAAATGTAAACAAAGGTGTATGTTTGTAGAGTAATTTACAACAGCTTTGAACGCGGCTCAGCCAATCAGAATCAAGCACCGGAACTCTCCGCTTTATAACACACTTTTGTTTGGTAAGAGCATGTGTCAAAAAAAAGTAAGTGAGATTATTGTAGGCCGCGATGACGTCGTTGAACTCGTATTTAGGAGAGACTTTTATTTTGCCTCCCGGAAGCGAGTCCCGGAAGTGTGTGATATTGTTGTCATGGCTGATCGCGGGAGTGATTCTGGTGAGTTTTGGAGTTTAGTTTGTCAGTCGTGGAGTGTGTCTGTCGTGTAAGTGAGGTGAATGTGTTCAAAGTGCAGGGCAGCGGTTTTCTGGAAGCGTCGGTGGTTTAATGAAGTCCGTCCCAGGCGCCGCGGCTGTTATAATAATAATAATCACAGACTCCTGCACGTGTGATTCTGCTGATTCTTCAATAATATCCGAGAATATCAGAACCGTTGGTCTTATTTTTGTCTTCATAGTGACTTAACTGGCCTCGTGTTTTGGCTCTCAGGGGCCCTTCTGCTTTATGAGTGAAAATACACCCCTTCGCAATACGTTGTACAATGGTATTCGTTAAAGTGCTCTGGATATTTTATAATACTGCAGTATACTATACAACGTACTATGATTGTGGTATGGAAATATATATCAAAGGTGTACCATAGTATTACCACTTCCTGTCATCGCTGTAGCACCACAGTACCTTTTGTGAAAGTAATTAATAATATAAATTATGATCGAATAATATGAATTCTAGAATTAAACTTATTTTGCCTCTAGATTATTTTTTTCCCCAAACATTTTTTATTTTATTAAAGTCCCCCTGTAGTGAAAATCAAGTTTTTTTAATGTTGTTTATTTGTCTGTGCTGTTTTTAATTTAATTACTTTTAGACAAACCATGTGCCAATCCATTAATCAACACCATTGCTGAGTATTTTCTCCTTAAAGGGGTCATATGATGCTGCTAAAAATAACATTATTTTGTGTATTTGGTGTAATGAAATGTGTTTATGCGGTTTAAAGTTAAAAAAACACGTTTCCACATACTGTACATTATTGTTTCTCCTCTATGCCCCGCCTTT